GTATAATGGAGTAGATGAATACAATTTGAAGGAAAAATTTTCTGCATAATTTTCATGTGTTCATGGTGGGTATATATTTGTGTATATATTTCACTTCAAGTTCTGAAAGAACCCAACATTTTCAGCTCATTGATTACTAAATGTGGGCATAGGAAACTTAAGCCCTACATCTAATATCATAATTCCCTAGACTTCTCAGGTTTACTTGAGTAACTGTGCTGATGTCTACATGGTTAGAAATAATTCAGATATTACCTATATAATACTTAAATAAATGAGAGAGAACTATTTCAGTTGTGGTTCCCAGTCTTTCCAGAAAAACAAAATTTTCATTATTACCCCACCTCTGTTCTGAAATTTGGAATAATTCTTCTACTATAAACAAACTTATTGTGAAATAAATATGAAATTTCTCCTTTAACTTATACAACATATCTAATAGCCAACCAATGTTTCTGAATAAACTGTGTCCATACATCTTCAAACAAAACAAAAAAAAAATGATGTGTGTTAGTCTGTGTGCCTAACTGCATCAGTAATGCTCAATGTTTATTAGGTTGTTTGAAATGCTGAAAGTAACTCAAAGATCCCTGATACTACTATATTGCTCTTACAGAGGTAAAAATCTCATGTAGGAAAACATGTTCAACCTTCCACTTTACAGATGACACACTAAATGGTTTGTCTAAAGCACACTGGTCTTTCCTGATACAATTCGAATGCAAATTTAGTTTTTTCAACTTCAACATTGATAACTGTTCATCTCTACTATGTTGCTTGTCATTTTGATACAAATATTTGGGAATAATGAAGTAATTTAAGAATGTCTCTAAAAAATAAAGAGAACAGATTTCAGCTCTAACCATGTTGGAAAAACTTTCAGGTATAATATAAATAATATAAGAATTTGTTTGAAGACACTATCAAGGAAATTACAGTGAAAATACTCAAGGACTACCTAAAATTGCATTATCTGCAGATGTCCTGTGCAGAAGTCATGTGCTTCTGTTGGCACAGAAGGAGGGGAAGGAGATAGATTAAGGTAAAGAGGGAGAGGAGGGAGAGGAGTCAGAGGAGTCAGAAAAAGACTTAAAGCCAAGGAACTAATTATAAGCAACCTCAGTGGCCTCACCCAGGTGTAGTGGATAAATATTCAGGAGGGATACCTCGGGAGCCAGGAGTCCTAGCCGTACACCAGGCCTCCCAGCCTAGGGTTCCAAAGGCAGGAAGATAAGACCCCACAAGTTCTGGCCTCAAAAAACAGTGGGGATTAAACAGTGGAAGAAACTTCTGGAGCCCCAAGCAGTTCCTCTTAAAGAACCTACACATGTTCTAACCTAACTCACCTAGTCAGACTCAATCCCATTAGGGTAGCAGGTTGAAAGCCACCACTGGGATACTGGGAGCAACTGAACTATTGGGCATCAAGGTAAGCAGAGGCCATTGTCCCTTTTCAAAACCCTCTCCCCATCAGGCAGGCAAGCTGGTACCATATCTGAGACTCCATCAACCAGGATAACACTGTTTGACCCACCTTGGAGATCCCCAGAGGCTCTGCCCCACCCAACTTATGGGCCACCCATGCTGTTTTCCCATAAGAATAGCTGGTCTTTGCTCAAGCTTCACAGCTTCCTAAATTCTCACAAACAAGCAACACCTGGCTTCAATGCAGCAGCCAGTCTAGATTCACAGCTTGGATTCACATGGGAATCTCCAAGCCCAACATAAGTAGCAACCATCTCCGATTGCTTTATAGCTCAGGCAGGTGCCCAAGGCAAAACACAGGTTGGGGCACACCTCGGCCTGTGCCACCCAGGAAACCCGAAAGCCAACACACCTGGTGGACAGCTACAGACCAAGTCAGAGCACCACCACCCTGTCCCTGCACATCTGATCCTCATTGGGGGCAAGAGGTTGGTGGTCTGTGGTCACAGACAGTCCTTGCAGCTGACTGGCCTGGGTAAAATAAATCCCTCCCACTGATCTCCCAACTATAACCAAGGCTCAACTACAAGAGGAGAGTGTACTCAGACCATACAAAGGGTGCACCTCGAATACCCAGCTTGGGTGATAGGGGAGGCTGTGCCACTGGTTCCTATAAGACACCTACTACATTAGGCCATACTACCAAGACAGGGAGTCAAAGCAGCTCTACCTAATTCATAGATACAAACACAGGGAGACTCCCAAAATGAGGAGACAAAGAAACATGGTCCAAATGAAGGAACAGTTCAACACCCCAGAAAAAGAACTAAACAAAAGGGAGGTAAGCAATCTATCAGATGCAGAGTTCAAACCACTGGTTATAAGGATGCTCAAGGAACTTAGTAAGGACCTCAACAACATAAAAAGTTCCATTCAACCCCTGGCTGGTACAGCTTAGTGGATTGAGTGCTGGCCTGCAAACCAAAGGATCACTGGTTTGATTCCCAGTCAGGGAACATGCCTGGGTTGTGGGCCAGGTCCCCAGTGGGGGCTATGTGAGAGACAACCACACACTGATGCTTCTCTCCCTCTCTCCCTCCTTTCCCCTCTCCCTAAAAATAAATAAATAAAATCTTTTTAAAAAATCCAGTCAGAAATTAAGGATACACTAATTGAAACAAAGAACAATTTACAGCAAAACCACATTAGAGGAGATGAACAAATCAAAACTCCAGAAAAAGAGCTAAACAAAAGGGAGATAAGCAATCTATCAGATGCAGAGTTAAAAAAACACTTATAAGAATGATCAAGGAACTTAATGAAGACCTCAGCAACATAAAAAAGATCTAGTTAGAAATGAAGCGTACCCTAATTGAGATAAATAACAATTTACAGGGGAAAACTGTAGATTGTTGGATGAAGGCAATGATCAAATCAATTATTTGGAACATAAAGAAGCAGAAAACAATCAATCAGAACAAGAAGAAAAAAGAATTCAAAAAAATGAGTGTAGTGTAAGCAGCCTCTGGGACAACTTCAAGAGGTCCAACATTCACATTATAGGGGTGCCAGAAGGAGAAGAGAAAGAGCAAGAATTTGGAAATCTATTTGAAAAAATAATGAGAGAAAACGTCCCTAACTTGTTAAGGAAATACATATATAAGTCCAGGAAGCACAGAGAGTCCCCAAACAAGATAGACCCAAAGAGGCCCACTCCAAGACACATCATAATTAAAATGACAATGTTTAAATACAAAGAGAGAATCTTAAAAGTAGCAAGACAAAAGAAGTTAGTTATTTACAGGGGAGTTCCGATAAGACTTTCAGCTTATTTCTTAAAAGAAACTTTGCAGGCTAGAACGTGTAGGCCATGAAGTCCAGTAGCTATAAAAAATGTAGATTGGCAAGAAATAGTCAAAGTCATAAAAAGCAGGTACCTACATCCAAGATTGTTCTATCCAGCAAAGCTATCACTTAGAATTGAAGGGCAGATAAAGAGATTCTCAGACAAGAAAAAACTAAAGGAGTTCAATATCACCAAACCATTATTATGTGAAATGTTAAAGGGACTTATTTAGAAAAAGAAGATCAAAACTATGAACAATAAATGGCCAAAATACATATATAACAACAACTAAAGTTAAAAAACAAACTAAGAAAACAAGAACAGAGACAGAATCATGGATACAATTTTGACGGTTACCAAATGGCAGAGGGGTGTGGGGTAATAGGTGAAGAGGTGAGGAGACTAAGAAGTACAAATAGGTAGTTATGGAATAGCCATGGGGATGTAAAGTACAGTGTAGGAAATGGAGTAGCCAAAGAACTTATACGCATGACCCATGGACATGAACAATGGTGGGGGGACTGGCTGAGGGAGTGGAGGGTGCGGTGTGGATTGGGGTAAAGGAGGAAAAATCAGGACAACTGTAATAGCATAATCAATAAAATATAATTTAAAAAATAAAAGACACAAATCTTAAAATTCAAATGCTGACTAAAAGAAAATTTATTCAACAAGTATAAATGGCTGACAGTTGATCAGTTCTAAAAGTAGAAATGGGGTGAAGAAGGCAGAAGGGCAATGGAAACCTGAAATTCACGGCTTAGACAAAGAGGAGGCTAAGAAGGGTCTTACTTTGTAACACTAGTTCACAGGGAACCTCCCATCACTTCCATCAGCAGTAGTTGGACTATACGGAATTTCAGTCACGTGTGCACATTAGCAGACAATTTTGTTTTTTCCTGTTTAACACTCAATTCTACACAATTCTGGTGAGTTTATCAGTCACAGTACCCTGTTTTCCAAGGGGTAGACCTGGCCAATCATCCTCTTGGCAACAGAAACAGATGTGAAGAGTAGGAACATGCCTGCATAGAGCCAGAGTCCTTTTCTAGAACTAAAATGTAAGCACTGAAATAATACAGCACCAGTAGAAAGAACTGCTTCGGTAGCCAGGATCATATTCACACCTAAATAAGCCAACCAGTCTGCAGCACACAGAATGAAACTAGCACACCATGAGAAATAGAAAGAAGCAGGCAAAGAAAGATGGAAAATAATGGTGTTGACTAACTTGCTCCAGTTCCTGAGTTCCTGGGCCCTGAAGCACTTCCTTCTACTGATTGAGCTCCACAATACAGTTTCCAGCTATGTGAGAATTCACTACTGCTTAAAGTAATCTGATTCCTGTTGGTTCACTAGCACATGAAAGAATTAATCATGTATTTTTACCAAGCTACAACTGCATGTAGCCCTGATCTCAAAGGTTTCTGAAACATGGACTTTTAGAAATTCTGAATTTGGCTATAAAAGGACTTTTTTACAAGAACCTTCCTTAAATCAGGGCATCATAGTAGCGAGTAAACAATGATGATGGCATCTCTTTACAAGATTTTTTTAGAAAACCCTTAGCTAACCTGGAGAAAAACATCATTAGTGACAGTACTCAAGAGAAACCCTATGTATGTGATTACAAACTCAATTATTAAAATCCAAATAACATAGTAAAAACATATATTTTAAATGTGCCAAGAATTATATAAATATAAAGGTAATGATTTATAATACTTACTTTAATTTCTGGTTGAAGCCAACTCTTTGTCTTTGTGTCAAATACATGAACATCATTATGCCATCCCCAGAATATCTGCTCTTCCTAAAACAAAATTTTTAAAAATATTTAAAAGACTTTATAACTTTTAGATTGTTATAGTTTCATTGCATATTTACTGGTGAAATAATAGGCACCTTTACAAAAATGGAGTCATTACCATATTCGTAAAGCAAATGCATGCACCAGGGGTTCACAAATCCATGAGCTGGTTCTTTGAAAAGATAAACAAAATCAACAAGCCTTAAACTGGACTCATAAAGAAAAAAAGAGAGATGACCCGAATAAATAAAATCAGAAATGAAAGAGGCAAAATTATGACCAATAACACTGAAATACAAAGAATCATAGGAAATTACTACAACTATATGCCAAGAAATATGAAAACTTGGGTGAAATGGATATATCTAGAAACATATAATCCTCCATTAATGAGTCAAGAAGAAGCAGAAAACCTGAATAAACTGATATCAGCTAGTGAAATTGAAGCAGTAATCAAAAAACTACCGGTACACGAAGCCCTGGGCTGGACGGATTCACAGGAGAATTTTACAAAACATTTAGAGAAGAGCTAACCCCAATACTTCTCAAACTATTCCAAAAAATCCAAGAAGAGGGAAGTCTCCCAATTTTTTATGAAACCAGTATTATCCTAATTCCAAAATGAGATAAAGACACAATAAAGAAAGAAAACTTCAGGCCAATATTGCTGATGGACATAGATGCTACAATCCTCTACAAAATATTGACAATCCAGATCCAGCAATACATTAAAATATCACACACCATGACCAAGTGGCATTCATACCAAGGATGCAAGGATGGTACAATATACGCAAATCAATAAATGTAATACAGCACATAAACAGTATGAAAGACAAAAACCATTTGATCATATCAATAGATGCTGAGAAAGCATTTGATAAAGAATAGCACCCATTTATGATAAAAATGATCAGCAAAGTGGGAGTACAGGGAGCATACATCAATACAATAAAGGCCATATACAAGAAACCTACAGACAACATCATACTCAATGGGCAAAAACTAAAATCTTGCCCTGGCTAGTGTAGCTCAGTGGACTGAGTACGGCCTGCAAACCAAAGGGTTGCTAGTTTGACTCCTAGTCAGGGCACATGTCTCATCTCCAGACCAGTTTCCCAGTGGAAGCCATGCAAGAGGCAACCACATATTGATGTGTCTCTTCCTCACTTTCTCCCTCCTTTCCCCTCTCTCTAAATGTAAATGAATAAATAAAATCTTAAAAAAAAAACTAAAATCTTTCCCCCTAAGATCAGGCACAAGACAAAGATGATCACATTCACCACTTCTATCCAACATAGTATTGGAAGTTCTAGCCACAGAGATCAGAGAAGAAAAGAAAAGAAAAGGTATCCAAATTGGAAAGAAGTAAAGCTGTCACTGTTTGCAGATGGTATGATACTGTACACAGAAAACCCTACAGACTCAACAAAAAAAAAAACTATTCAACCTAATAAATGAATTTGGTAAAACCACAGGATACAAAGTCAACATTCAGAAATCAAAGGCATTTTTGTACACTAACAATGAAATGTCTGAAACAGCAATTAGGAGAAAAATTCCATTTACTAAGACAAGAAAAACAAAATTGTTAGGAATAAACTTAACTAAGGAGGTAAAAGACATGTACTCAAATAACTATACAACACTGAAGAAGGAAATTAAGGAAGATACAAATAAATGGAAGCACATACACTGTTCATGGATGGAAGAATTAACATCATTAAAACATCCATACTACCCAAAGCAATCTATAGATTCAACGCAATCCCTGTCAAAATACCAATGATATATTTCACAGATGTAGAACAAATATTTCAAAAATTTATATGGAACCAAATAACCTCAGCATTTTTTAGAAAGAACAAAGTAAGAGGGATCAAATGATATCAAACTATATTACAAAGGAAATACAGTTTCCTTTCTAATACAAAGCCACTGTAATCAAAAGTTTGGTACTGGCATAAGAACAGACATATAGATCAATGAAACAGAACAGAGAGCCCAGAAATAAACCCGTGTCAATACAGTGAGTTAATATTTGACAAAGGGAGCGGGAACATAAAGTGTGATAAATATAACTTCTTCAATAAATGGTGTTGGGAGATCCGGGCAAATACATACAAACAAAAAAGAAACTTGACCACCAACTTACACCACACCCCAAAATACACTCAAGATGGATAAAAGACTTAAATATAAATTGTGACACCAAAAAGTGTCCTGGAGGAAAAACATAGGCAGGAAAATTTCTGATATCCCATGCAGCAATATTTTCACCAATACATCCCCCTTAGGGCAAAGGATATAAAGGGAAGAATAAACAAATGGAACTATATCAAAATAAAAAACTTCTGCACAGCTAAAGAAAACATCAACAAAATGGAAAGGGAACCAACCATATGGGAAAACATATTTGCCAATGATACCTCAGACAAAGGTTTGATCTCCAAAATATATAAAGAACTCATACAATTCCACACCAGGAAGACAAACAATCCAATTAAAAAATGGGCAAAGGACCTGAACAGATACTTCTCCAAGGAGGACACATAGGGGACCCACAGACACATGAAAAAGTGCTCAACATCACTAGCCACTGGAGAGATGCAAATTAAAACCACAATGAAATACCATTTCAAACTGGTCAGAATGGCCATCATTAATAAACCAGCAAACAACAAGTACTGGCAAGGCTGTGGAGAAAAGAGAACCCTAGCGCACTGTTGGTGGGAATGCATATTGGTGCAGCCACTGTGGAAAACAGTATGGAATTTCCTGAAAAAACTGAAGATGGAACTGTCTTTTGATCCAGTGATCCTACTGCTGGGACTATACCCTAAGAATTCTGAAATACCAATTCAAAAAAACCTATGCACTCCAATGTTCATAGCAGTGTTATTTACAATAGCCAAGTGCTAGAACAGCCTAAGTGCCCATCAGTAAGTGAGTGTATCAAAAACCTGTGGTACATTTGCACAATGGAATACTATGCAGTAGAAAGAAAGAAGGAGCTCCTACCCTTCTCAACAGCATGGATGGAACTGGAGAGCATTACGCTAATGAAATAAGCCAGGCAGTGAAAGACAAATACTGTATGATATCTCCTATAAGGAGAACCTAATCAACAAAACAAACAAATGAGCAGAATAGAACCAGAGACATGGAAATGTAGAACAAACTGACAGTGACCAGAGGGGAGAAAAGAGGGAGTAACAGAGCAAAGAAGGGGAAGGGGTAAGTAAAGGAACATGAATAGGGGACTCATGGGCATGGCCAACGGGGGGATTAACTGCAAGAGTGTCAGGGCAGAGTAGATATGAGCAGTGGAGAAAAAGGTGGGACAACTGTAACTGAACAACAATAAATAATTTTTAAAAATTTACCAGTGGAAAAAAATCCACTGTACACCAAAAATTTCAGGACATGAGCATTAGCCTGACTGTATTAGAAGAGAAAAAAAAGATTTCACTGATGAGTAAAAATATATATAAACAATGGGAAGTTATATTTCTAAAATTATCAGTAATAATGTAAGTAGCCAAGCTTTACAGATATTTTATATTAAAAGCTAAAAAGCCATGTAACTATAGGGAGAATTAAAAAACACCCATATACAAAGAGATATATACAAAATGTGCATATACATTAGTAATGTACAATAATAGTGTATGCTAGGAAAAGGTAAAACTAAAGAGTTACTGTGCATTTTGGTGGTGAATCAATGATTTTTAAAGTTATCTTTAAAAGATTTCATTTTTATAAGTTATGACTTCTTTCATTAACAATAGTTTATTCTATAACCAATAAGAATAATTAGGAAAGGTAATATCACCACCAACTTACTCCTGTGTAAGCCCATCAGAGCTGCGTGGTTCTAGTACACATATCTAAAAGCAGGTGTATGTCAGCAAAAGCCATTCTGGTTACCTGTGAACCGAGTTTTTCTAAGTTGTGATAAAGCCTCCACTTATACAGAAGTAGGTATAAGCGATTAAATATATAAGAAAAGAAACTTCTGGTTTCCATGAAGGTGAGAGAACCTCCTCCAATTTAATCCAAAATCAAAAGAGAGAAAATAAATTTTTTCATAGTCAATTATAGCAAATAAAAATGAGAAAGAATGGGCTCATTATTTCTAAAAACTTTAAGGCAATAATAAATTAGAGGAAAATGTTAGCAGTGATTACTCTTACCCAAGATGCATCATGAACATCAAAACAGTCTTGGAGTTCATTGTGTCTCCTACACCCATAGCCACCAAAATATATTAATCTGAAAAACAAAGATAAGAACACCCTTTAGAAATTCTACTTCCACTTTGTTCATAGAAAGTTGAATGACATCATTTCTCTCACCCTAATAACCTAAACAAGCTAGTTACAGTCATGTGCTATATAAAGACATTTCAGTCAATGATGAACCACATATATGACAGTGGTCCCATAAGATTATAGTGGAGCTAAAAAATTTTCTATTACCTAGTGATGTCACAGCCATCATAATGTTGTGCAATGCACTGCTCACATGTTTATGGTAATGCTGGTAAACAAAAGTATATGCTGCCAGTTGTACAAAAGTATAGCAAATATAATTATAGTATATGATATGTGATAAGTATAGTACATAATACTTAACCATGACAGTAAATGGCAATGTTAATGGTTTACATATGTAGTAAACTTTCTATCATTATTTTAGAATATACTCTAATTATTAAAAATTAGGTTGCTATAAAATGGCTTGCTGATTTATGCCAGCAGCAGCTGCATATATCTTGTGTTTATCTACTTTGTTAATTGTATCAGGACTTCCAGCCAAGATGGAGGCATAGGTAGACATACCATGCCTCTTCCCACAATCAAAAGAAAAACAACAAATTTTAAAACAAAAAACAACCAGAACTGACAGAAAATTGAACTATATAGAAGTCTGACAACCAAGGAGTTAAAGAAGAAACATACATCCAGGCCAGTAGGAGGGGCAGAGATGCACAGCCGGGTGGAGAGGACTCGCAGCAAGGTGGCAGCTGACGGACCTCACAGTCCCACATTCGAGTGCAGATAAACCGGGAGGAACAACTAGGGATCAAGACAGACGGAGGAACCCAGGGTTCCAGGGTGTGGAAATAAAGCCTCAAAACCTTTGACTGAGAACATCTGTGGGGGTTGAGGGGTCAGTGGCAGAAACACAGCATCACAGGAAAGTTTGTTGGAGAGACCCACAGGGTCCTAGAACATACCCACTCACCCAGGAATCAGCACCAGAAGGGCCCAACTTGATTGTGGGTATCAGGCAAAGTGACTGAAAACCAGCAGAAAGCGGAACAAGCAGCACTGTTCCCTCTCAGACCCCTCCCCTACATACAGCACCACAACGTGGGTGGCCCCGCCTTGATAAACACCTAAGGTTCTGCCACTTACTATGTAACAGACACACTGAGACTCAAAAAATGACCCATATGAAAAAACAGATCAAAGCTCCAGAAAAGATACAACCAAGTGACGAAGAGACAGCCAACCTATCAGATGCACAGTTCAAAACACTGGTCATCAGGATGCTCCAGGAACTCTCTGGGTACTTCAACAGCATAAAAAAGACCCAGGCAACAATAAAAGTTGCATTATGTGAAATAAAAAAAAATCTACAGGAAACCAACAGTGACAGGAAGGAAACCAGGACTCAAATCAAGGGTTTAGAACAAAAGAAAGAAAGAAACATTCAACCAGAACAGAATGAAGAAACAAGAATTCAAAAAAAATTAGAAGAGAAGCTTGAGAACCTCCAGGACATCTTTAAATGTTCCAGCATCCGAATTGTAGGGGTGCCAGAAGGAGAAGAGGAAGACCAAGAAATTAAAAACTTATTTGAAAAAATAATGAAGAAGAACTTCTCCAATCTGACAAAGGAAATTGACTTTCAGGGAGTCCAGGATGCTCAGAGAGTCCCAAAGAAATTGGACTCAAGGAAGCACACACCAACACACATCATAATTACATTACCCAAGATTAAAGATAAGGAGAGAATCTTAAAAGCAGCAAGAGAAAAACAGAGGGTTATCTACAAAGGAGTTCCCATTAGATTATCAGCTGATTTCTCAAAAGAAACCTTTCAGGCAAGATGGAGCTGGAAAGAAGTATTCCAAGTTATGAAAGGCAAGGACCTACATCCAAGATTACTCTATCCAGCAAAGCTGTCATTTAGAATGGAAGAGCAGATAAAGTGCTGCCCAGATAAGGTCAAATCAAAGGAGTTCACCATCACCAAGCCCTTATTATAGGGAATGTTAAACGGACTTATCTAAGAAAAAGAAGATAAAAATACAAACAGTAAAATGACAACAAACTCACAACTATCAACAACTGAAGCTAAAAAAACAAAAACAAACTAATCAAATAACTAGAGCAGGAAGACATCGACAGAAATGGAGATCACATGGAAGATTATCAGCAGGGAGGGGGAAGGGTGAGAATGGAGGAAAAGGTACAGGTAACAAGAAGCATAAATGGTAGGTACAAAATAGACAGGGGATGTTAATAGTATGGGAAATGAAGAAGCCACAGTACGTATATGTATGACCCATGGACATGAACTAAAGGGGGGGAATGACGGTGGGAGGGGCGGTACAGGGCAGAGATGAAGGAAGGATAGAAAAAAATGTGACAACCATAGTAGCACAATCAATACAATATATTTTTTAAAAAAGAGAGTAAGGACCCAAATAAAATCAGAAATGAAAGAGCAGTAACAACTGATACTACAGCAATACAAAGGACTATAAGAAATTACTATAAACAACTATATATCAAGAAATTGGACAACCTGGGTGAAATGGATGTTTCTAGAAACACACAATCTTCCAAAACTGAATCAGGGAGAAACAGAAAACCAGAATAGATCACTAACATCTAGCAAATTGAAGCAGTAATAAAAAAAACTACTGACACAAAAAAGTCCTGGACCACAGGGGAATTTTACCAAACATTCAAAGAGGAACTAACACCAATCCTTCAGAGACTATTCCAAAAAATTCAACAAGAGGGAAGATTCCCAAACTCTTTTTACAAGGCCAGTACTATCCTAATCCCAAAACCAAGTAAAGACACAATGAAGAAAGGAAACTACAGGCCAATATCTCTGATGGACGTACATCCTCAACAAAATACTAGCAAACCAGATCCAACAATACTTTAAAAAGACCATATACTATGATCAAGTGGGATTTATCCCAGGGATGCAAGGATGGTACTATATTGGTGTACCAATAAATGTGATACATCACATGAACAAAATGAAAGACAAAAATCACATGATCATATCAATAGATGCAGAAAAAGCATCTGACATAATCCAGCACCCATTTATGACAAAAACACTTAGTGAAGTGGGACTAGAGGGAGCATACTTCAATGTAATAAAGGCCATACATGAAAAACCTACTGCCAACACCATACTCAATGGGCAAAAACTAAAAGCGTTTCCCTTAAGATCAGGAACAACACAAGGCTGCCTGCTCTCACTGCTCTTATTCAATGTAGTACTGGAAGTCCTAGCCACAGCGATCAAACAAGAAGAAGAAATAAAAGGCATCCAAATTGGAAAAGAGGAAGTAAAACTGTCATTATTTGCTGACAGATGATATGATATTGTACACAGAAAACCCTACAGGATTCACCAAAAAAACTACTCAACCTAGTAAATGAATTTGGCCAAGTAGTGGGATACAAAGTCAATATTCAGAAATTGATGGCATCTTTGTACACCAACAACGAACTACCTGAAAAATCCCATTTACTATAGAAACAAGAAAAATAAAGTACCTAGGAATAAACTTAACGAAGGAGGTAAAAAGACCTGTACTTGGGAAACTATAGAACACTGAAGAAAGAAGCTGAGGGAAATACAAATAAATGGAAGCACACACCATGTTCATGGATGGAAAAATTAACATCATTAAAATGTCCATACCACCCAAAGCAATCTATAGATTCAACGCAATTCCTATTAAAATACCAATGGCATATTTCTCAGATCTAGAACAAATATGTTAAAAGTTTATATAGAAGCAAAATATATCCTGAATAGCCACAGAAATCTTGAGAAAGAATAAAGTTGGAGGGATTACAATACCTGATATCAAACAGCCTAGTACTGGCATAAAAACAGACATATAGATCATGGAACAGAATAGAGAGCCCAGAAATAAACTCATGTCTCTATGGTCAATTAATATTTAATAAAGGGGGCACAAATATACAATGGAGAAAAAAATAGCCTCTTTAATAAATGGTGTTGGGAGAACTGCACTGGTACATGCAAAAAAATGAAACTCAACCAACCACCAACTTACACCATACACCAGAATAAACTCAAAATGGATAAAAGACTTCAATGTAAGTCGTGATATGTAAAAGTCCTAGAGGAAAACATAGGCAGCAAAATTTCAGATATCTCACATAGCAATATTTTTGACAATATATCTCCTAGAGCATGGGAAATAAAGGAAAAAATAAACTAATGGGACTACATCAAACTAAAAAGCTTCCGCACAGCTAAAGAAACTATCAAAATGAAAAGAGAACCGACTGTATGGAAGAACACATTAGCCAACGATACCTCAAATAGGGGTTTGATCTCCAAAATATATAAAGAACTCACACAACTCAACACCAGGAAGTCAAACAATCCAATCAAAAAATGGGCAAAGGACCTGAACACACGCTTCTCCAAGAAGGACATACAGATGGCCTATAGACACATGAAAAAAATGTTCAACATCACTAGCCATCAGAGAAATGCAAATTAAAACAATGAGGTATCAACTCATACCTGTCAGAATGGCCATCATTAACAAATAACAAACAAGAGCTGGGGAAGATGTGGAGAAAAGGGAAGCTTACTGTACTGTTGGTGGGAACACAGACTGGTGCAGCCACTGTGGAAAACAGTATGGAATTTCCTCAAAAAATTAAAAATGGAACTGCCTTATGACTCAGTGATTCCTGCTGGAAATATACTCAAAGAATCCCAAAACACCAATTCAAAGGAACTTGTGCACCCCGATGTTTACAGCAGCACTATTTACAATAGCCAAGTGTTGGAAACAACTTAAGAGCTCCTCAGTAGATGAATGGATTAAAAATCTGCTGTTTATCTCTACAATGGAATACTATGCATCCAGAAGAAAGAAGAAGGAACTACTACCCTTTGCAACAGCATGGATGGAACTGGAGACTATTATGCTAAGTGAAATAAGCCAGGCAGTGAAAGGCAAA